CTATCAAACAGTAAGATCACTGCTTAATTAAATTGCCCCTCATAAAATAAAGCAGTTTACAGTAAGCGCTCTTAGAATTTAATTTTTTTACACCACATTGAAATGCTATACTAGTAAATTCTTTGGCTGAATATTGTGGTTGGTTTGTAATGATTAATTCCAAAATGCATTGCTGTTATAAAACACTTCAATCTATCCAGTTAGGCATCTTTATTGCATTATATTGTAGTGATATCTATTCAGTAATGCGTTGGTATCATTAACTATTTCTTTTTATAAATAGTAGCTATTATTACAAAATAATTGATGACCTGAAGTTTAAACGATTTTTGTTATTTATTTCCACTCCAGGAATGTCAGGGAATTTTCTGTCTGTCTATGGAAGGAGCCATTATAAAATGCGACACTCATATATTGATTCAAAATGTTCTTTTAAACTAACCAGTCTTGGTCAGATGTGCCTAATTTTAAATGTATTGCTTGCTAATTTTTGTTTTAAATTAATAATGTAAGTATCACATTCTAAATTCTGAAATATTTATCTTAAATTTAAAACTAAAACAGATGTGATCAATATTCAAATTAGGTAGCTGAAATATGCAGAGCTACATGACCTTGGCTTGTGACATCTCAGGTGTTCGAGGTCAGCAAGATGAACAAGGATGTTCTCGATTCTATAGATCTTAAAAACTGATCTGTAACTCACACAGATTTGTTGTTCAAAAAAGAGGGAGTAAAAATGGTGAATAACAATTATATACATAATAAAATACCATATGCCATATGCTAATGCATTTTTGTTTGGCAAATAAACTGCCTTGGTATAAAATATCACATTTTTCTTTAAATTTAATACTGCAGGTTAAAAAAATTGAATTCCAGTCTAAGAATGTAATTGCAATTATTTCAGGAATATGGATTATGACTTGTTGATGTAATTTTCTGGCTGTGTTGTCTTTAATTTCTTTGAGTTAATATTTGTTAAATCTTCATTGGGTGAATTTCTAGACTATAGAATGCGCTGTGTGATATTAATAAATATTATCACGTGGCTGACATATGGGCATGGCTGCGAGTGTTCCATTAATGTTCAAGATCTTTTGAGCTCTTTCAAATTCTTGTATATTTAAAGTTTTGGAATTTAAAGCCAGTTTTTACTGAAATATAATTAATAGTGCATTCATTTTTTATAACTCAAAACACACACACTTACATGAATTTATCTGTAACCATACCAGATTTTCACTTTTGTTCTTGCCATGCTTTATATGCTCATGACAACCATAGACCCTCTAACTGTTAGAGGGTCTATGTGACAACCCATAGAATTGTTGTCATAGAGCTCTTACAAGTGGCATGCTAGACTATCTCAGGAATTTTCATATAATCTGATTAAGTGTTGTTTTTTCCATGATTTTTGTCAAGCATTTGTTTTGGATTGGACAAGCCGTATGGTTTATCGATGTCTATGCAAACAAAACAACGCTAAGCTACATTAGAATAGCGCATAGACTGCAGTTCACTGAGTAGGCAAACCATTATGTTCACCTATATGGTTTTTCGGTATGTCTAAGTTGGTGTATATTTATACCTCTTGTGTTAGTATCATACCACGTATGAAACAGTCTTAATGATAAATGTATGCCCACTGCACCATAGTTAGTGATTACAATTTCCAATTTTCTTCCACAAAATCAGTTATTCTGTAGAGAACTGACATTGATGCTTTTAAAGTGATTGAACAGCTTCTATGTTGTCTAATGACCAATAGGTCATTTTGGGCCAGACATATGAGACCCCTTAGCTTACTGCGCCATAGTACTGGTGACATAGGTCACCATACACAAGTATTCGCGGTGAACATATTTTTGTAGTTCAGTGCAAATTATACTGTCTTCAAGGGGTGTGACTTTCTTGTATTTCATTAGACCTCTGTGCTAATCTGTCACTGAAATTGCTACTTTAAAATATCTGATCTATGTTGTGGCATGTGGGGGAGCAATAGTATTCTCTGATTAAAAATGTTTTTATTTATTTCTGACACCCCCCCCCCCCCGCCCTCTAACAAAAACTGATTTGTTATGCGCGATATATTATGCTGAGATTGTTCCATTTAGCAAGACTAAATTCAATCACATAGTTCATTCCAGTTGGATGTCTGGTTGGCTAAATATCAAGATTGCATATTCACATTGGAATGGAATCAAAAATAGCATAACTGAATTCAACATTACATACTTGGTATTCGGCATTCGATATAGTACACATACCAGGATGATTTCTTCCTCTCTCTAATTCTCTTGGATCAGGTGCTATTTGATTCTGAAACAGGTTTGTATTTTAATAGATCCATTTCAATTCCTTGCGTGACAGGAAGTCCATATTGCTGTACTCTGGAAATATATATCGGTCTGTTAAAACAGTCTGGCAGGTCATGAGACAATTGTGAGGACATTTCTCTAATTCTAACTGCAGAAATATTTATTTTCTCTCACGAAAAGACAGACAGGTTATTATTCAGTAATCAACAAGTCTGGTTTCTATGGCAACCAGCTACTACATGTCTGCACATGGGCATTAAAAGAAGATAATTTTCCATGCTGTTATACAAACTTATTAGTTATGCAAATCACGACTAGATTGTCGATTCTTAAGATGACATCATGTCTGGCGAATTTATATGCTAGTGTTCAGTGTTGCATGCTCATAACAGTCATTCCAAGCCACTGGCAACAGATTTTTGAATTATTTATATTCAGTATTAGAAGATTTTACATCTACAAAATTAACTTCTCTCTGTTTATAATTAATTATTTGTTTCTATACCAATTTTCATATAATACACTAAGGTATGGTTATACTCTTTTAATTATGTTTTGCACTATAACAACACCAAATCATAATTGATGACAATTTCATGTCAAAAGCAAGACAGGCTAAGTTATCTGCTTTATTATAACCATTTAGTCTAAACTAGATAATGTGTTAATCATTATCCTTTTTATGTCGTTTTTCTCTCGATTATATTGCCTGCATCTGCGTTTACATTATCATTTGCATACCAATTAGGTAAATTTGCCAACATGGAATCGATACAAGAATACTAAACCATGTGACTATGGAAATGGTTGTTCTTTAATATTTATAATTCATATGTTGTAGTTTTGTCAATAGAAAATGTGAAGTACTGCTCAGTGTTTTAATTAATGTAGCAGAAGTCAGAGGTGAACATATTTTGTCTATCCCCAGTAAAAATAACAGTGACTGTCTGAGTTTCATGGATATATTTCTGTTAATATTTATAAATTGTTATCAATATATTCTTAATTGTGCATGCAATATTCATATTGCAAATGTTCTTTGCATTTGGCAATGTGTCATCATTATTATTATTAATTCATGAGAGCTTATAGACCTTTTGCATACAATATTCATTTCTAGACATTGAAGATTTCTCAAGACTGATCTTATGATCCCTTCAATTTTAATAATCTTGCAGGCTGTACTGGTCTGTAATGTACTGTAATGTTACTGGTCGCTTTGTTCTTCATACCTTGGCTGCTAAATTTTGGGATAGTACAGTAACTCACATGCGTACAATTTTTGAGCTTTTCACAAAATGATATACTGCCTGTGCTTTAGTCCATAATATAATCTGAAATAATAATTCCATCTATTATTTTCCTACAGAATTATCCTATATCATACCTCCTTGCAGGAGCTATACATTTTGTACTGATTTGCCCTCTCCCCCAACACACACACACACACACACACACACACTCACTCAGTCAGTCACATGACAGTACCACCCAATATGTTTCTACCTAATTATCCGATATCATAATTCATCACATGTCCACTACATCCATCTCTTTGTCTATCTGTCCTTCCCACACTCATTTATATGGATACAAGGTTTAGTAAAAATGAGATGTTAAGCAGTAGACATGATTCAGGATCAAACACAGAAGAAATAAATTAACTTTCTCCATTTTCTTACAATTAGAATTGGAATAATGGTGAGAAACTGCAAATCTCATGAAAAACTTCAATTAGTAAAAAAATATTGGGTGTTAATAAACTTATTTTACATTTCCACTTCCATCTATAATAAACTGCAGCACATCTACAACCATAAAACACTTCAATATTCAAATGTAGTTGCTGACACACTAAAACTCTTCACATATATTTGTAATCTGTGGGGTGCTGTAATGGAATTTTTACTTGAGCACATGGCAATTGTTGTGTTGCTATGGTTTTGAATGGACAAGCACAAAATTAGGTGCTTCCAATAGCATTGGACTAAATGGTCTACATGTACCAATGTCTAATTCAGTGCACAATTTCATTTGAGGGGAATCAAATCTCAGAATATGAAATTATACCCAACCAAGTATGTGTGAACTCTGGAGTTCATACAGAAGGCCAGACTTGTCAAAACTGTAGTTGACAGAATAATTCATTTAATGATCTAATCCCTACTTATGGCTGATAAAATAGTTTGCTGTGATAACATGAATTGTAGTTACACTTGGCTTGTACAAACAAACTGTTGACACACATTGACAATGGAATGAGACTTATAACCTTCATGTTCTTGTGTAGTGAACTGGATACTGTAAAATACTTTCTTTTAGATGGAATAGATTTTTTTTCGACTTTTTGGGTGTCATTTATGGAATTTATTTTCGTTAATTTTTAAATAGTTGAATGTAAAATATAGGGAAAAAAATATATTCACTAGATTTTATTTTCACTGACTTGTCCCAATGAAAAATAAATTCCAAGCAAAAAAAAGTATTTTACAGTCCTGTAAAACACCTACAGTATTAGAAATGTATGTGCTTATTTTATTATTTTTCTCACCATAATTGTGGTGCAACATTTTGGACACTTCTAAGAATGGACATATTATCTTATTCGGCAAGTTAAAGCAATAATGCAGGTTGATTTTAGAAAAGTTTTTTATTTTTGTCTGTTTTTTTTTTTTGCAGATTGCAAGCATAGGCACATAGTGAATTACAGTGACCAGAACCGTATGTAGCTTGAGCCTTGGAGTTGATAGTAACTGGTATGAAGTTTTATGTCCTCCTCCTCCTTCACAATAGCTTAACATAGTGCTACCCTGGCAACAAGGCAACAAGTCCATGAATGAGAAACAATTCAAACAGTACTGCACTGCTTTTATCAAGGTACTCCAGCCAGCCAAAGTAGCCAGCAGTTCTGATTCTCTTTTTTTGACTTGGCCCGGCAGCAGTCCAATATAGACCTCTTAGGTTGATTTCTTAAGCTTGCCAGCTGAAGCTCCGCTTATAGCCCCATATTGCAGCTTAATATTGGTCAGCCTTGGTATATTCATTCAATTTGTTTATTATGGCACTGAGGGACAATCGATGGTTGACGCTAGAAGTGTGCAGAGAGTTCCAGCGTGGAACATGTTCAAGGCCCGACACAGAGTGCAAGTTTGCCCATCCATCAAAATCCGTCACAGTAGAAAACGGCCGTGTTACTGCTTGCTTTGATTCGCTTAAGGTATGTATACCAATGTCCCCATTTCCAAGCAATGTTACTCACTCATTCTGCATGTAACTTGTTTATGTCACATTTCTTTTTGCTGCTGTCATGGTGACTTTTGATTTATTGTCCGCTTTGAATGAAAAATTGGCTTTTTATTATTATTGCTTGATATTGCATGTCTTAAATGTGCTGCCCATGCTATATTGCAGAAATCAGTTATACATTCCATGATTAACACTTAAAATGGATCTACTCTCTCTACTGCACTCTGCATAATTCAAATGTTGAACTGTTGCCAAACAAATATTGCTTTTCTGTGAAAAAGAAATGGGTTGGTGCTAAAACATGTGGAGATTTCATTTCTCATCAGGCATCACAATAATTACTTGGTTGTTCCATCAATTGGGGTGGGTTGGTTACTCTCATGAGACTTGGTACCATTGTTAACATCCTTCCAATGTGAAACCATTTCCTTAATTGTTTCGCTACACTGAGATTTCTCTGTTTGAAACCATACTACTTGTACCTCTAATATTAATTCACCTGTTAGAATAGATGATATTGTTTGTTATATGTGTAGCAAAAAATTGGGATGAATGATCTGTACAGTCTGCAAAAACACCAGCCTGCCAATGTTTGGTCTGTGTTAAACCATATACCCAGTCAAAAATAACACAGTTTAATGTCAAATAAATCAATTTATATTTAAAAAAAAAAATTATATACTCTGAGCTGCCTATAAAATGAGTGAAATTTGGGAGACCAGTAGTGCAGTCTAGTTTAGTAATATTAGGAATAGTAGAAAGAGAAAAAATACCTGAATACTTCAATTGTAAATAGAACATTTCACATAACTTTCTGTTCATAGCAATGTATGCACTTTCAAAAAGCTGTTATATGGAAAGATATAACTGCACATTTCACTCATGGGATTAAGAAATTGTTGTAAAAAAACAGAAAATGATTTCACAATCTGAGCCCCCCTCCAAGAGTGCAGTTGTTTTGCATATGGTAAATAGCTAACAAGAGATACCTTGAATTTTTATTGATTTCCTGGTTTATAAATAGGAGCCTGTCATTATTAAAAGTGTGTTCAGCACTAATTCCGGTTTCAAGTTGAACTGAACACCTGGCAATGGTTCAGATTGTATTTTGTAATGGGATTTTAACTTAATCCTTCAGGCAAATAACGACACAGAATGTGTAAGTCCTATGCTCCTAAATCCTTATTTCTTGAAATATATATTGCAATGGTTACTGGTTTAGTATCTTACAGAGAATTACAGAAATAGAGTTATAGTCTTAATGACACATTAATTATTTGTGTATTTGTTCACTACCTATTAAAGTTGAAACTACGTTAACTAGGTACAAAAAATGATATTACATTAATATGAAAGTGAAAGTGTGCTCAAAATTCCCGGCCCTTGTCTTAGGATATCTAACCACTTTTAATTGTCAGTATGTGTAACCAATGAGGAATTATAATATCTTGTCTGTTTGTGACAAGTACTCTTGAAGTACCGTCTCCCTCCTAGTTGTAAGTTTGAAAGTGTAATTGTTGTCACTATTATATACACCAGTGGCAAGACTTCATTTATTTAACTATTATTTTTGAGATCTATCTTGTCAATGGGATTCATATTTTTAGTTGAAATTCAATCTCACCAATTTGATTGATATATTAATAACAAGAATATTTTTTTAGTATCGTAGTAATTATGGCTGTAAAATATTTAATTTTGTGGGTTGTGGGATTAGTCATTCAATAAATACTTGGAAGGAAGGAGAATTGTATATTTTGATTAGTTAAGTCTGGATTTATAAACATGACCGGTTTTGGCCAAATGTGCTATCGTGAATGTGCATTTTCCACATAGTTGACTAATATTAGTACAAGTACTGTAGAAGTGAATGATCGTGTTTCTTCTAACTTTCCAGTCATGGTTGCAATAGATGGAAAAAATAACTTCATCGCAATCATGATGTAATTAATAGTTATCAAAAATCAGATGTGAAACTCAATATGTAAAAGTATGTATGAAATTAATGCACCGTCTTGGCAGAGGCTTTTGGCGTATGTTTTTTTTCTCTGGTCAACTTATTAGGTCAACTATTTATATATGCTTCAGACAGGACATGATATGCCTCTGGGGTTTTAAGTTCTATTTATTTGGAGGTTATGTATGCTGAATATGTTTAAATTGTTAACACTTTTCTAATGTAAAAGACAAATTGGCTTTGTGTGCTATGCTAAGAGTTGAAGGACAACTAAAATTTCTCTTCAATTTTGGCCTAAATATAGAAATTGCAGCAATAGCTATTTTTAATGGGTTTGTAAAGTACACTTTGTGGAGATTTGTTGTAGAGTAAGGGTGCATTATCTCATCTTAAAGACTCTACAGTCAACAATTAGGTGTATACAGTTGGGCTTCATTGTGCAGTACTTGTGGCGAGGCTTGGAGATCAGAACTATTGCTAGAATTTGAATTTTGAAACTGTGCTATAACATATGATCATACCCCCAGTACTATGCAACACTGAGTTTTTTTCGGTTATGATTCATTAACCAATTTTATTATATTTAATCTGTATTTCAGAATTGCTCTAAGGATATGATGACAATTTATTGTGACCACTCTTCACTGCCATTTCATGTCGCCTTGGTGTTATTTTATATTATTTTACAGGCAAAGTGCACAAGGGAAAACTGTAAATATTTACATCCACCACCACACCTAAAAAATCAACTGGAAATTAATGGACGAAACAATTTAGCAACTCAAAAGATGCTTCAAAGTTTGAACCAACACATACAGTTTCCGACTTCTGCGCCTCTAGTGGCAAGTCTGGGCAACCCAGCTATGGTAAGTAGGTTTGTGATTCCATGCTCTGTCTTAATCTTATCATGTGACCATGGTGTATATCATTCGCATTTGGCAACGAAAACACTAAATAGCATTCTCTACAAATCTGCATCTGCATTCATTTGAAGCCTATTTAAACATACAAAATTTCTCTTATTAGAGCCAAGTTTTGAACCAGCACTGTAGCATGTAATGAAAATAAAATTCCAGTGCAACACTCAATGAGACGCATATTTTGAGGTCATTTGGAACTGTTACCTCTCATTAAATTATTATGGCAAGCAACAGTCACATCCTGGGATGTAGCAACAATTTACTGATTTACCCGGTAATAGAATCACATCACTGGGTGCAAACGTGCAGGCATGAATATATTTTGTTGGCATTTTGGGTTGGACAACAAGCAGGAAGGGATGTATATAACAACGTTATCAAGAGAATACTGCAAATGATGTACTCAGGCAGGAAGGGATTGCATCAACTTCCACTACATTTGGGTAATAGAATCACTGATACCTCCTTTATCCATAATTTGCGATATTATTGTAATAATCTCATAGTATGCACTTTGCGATATCTTGGTTGAAATAATCAATGTCTTGGTTGAAATAATCAGTGTCTTGGTTGAAATAATCAATGTCTTGGTTGAAATAATCAGTGTCTTGGTTAAAATAATCATAGTCATACTGTCTTCATGCTTTCTCTGTGGTAGTCTCATGATAACCTCTTAGTACAAAAAAAAAAACAATTGTGTTAATGTACTGTATTTATCGGAATAGTAATTGCAACAGAAAATTTTTTTAAAAAAAAATAAAAAATATTCTGCTGATCATTGAAAGCTGTCACATCTGCAACAGCATGTCACGCAGACATGCTTAGAATATAACTGCAGCTATCTGATTAGGGGGTTCAAGTCATTATTGTTGTAAATATGATAATTTATGCAAAATATACATGATGTCTGACTCTTCAGTGGCCTGACACAACCACCTGACATGAACACTTTTAAAATAGGACATTTGGTAATTGGTCGATGAGGTAGTTTCCTCATTAAATGAACTGTATAGTGAATATGTACATACGTATGAAAGACCTATCAGTCAGTTGTGATAAAGTTTGTTGCAACCCATGCCAGTAAGATTGAGAGAGATCACAATACCGGTAGATAGAACTACCTTATAGCTCATTATTTATTCATGAGCTTGATTGCCACGTTAATCGTCATATAGAAGTAGTGAGGTTTACATTAACCTTTTTTCACTTTTGAGTGTATTCACTTATTGAAATATAAATATCTCTAAAAGAATCAGCATTTTTATGTTATAATTAAAAAATAGTGAGGTTTTACATGACCAAAATTTGTGTCAGTAATTTATTATTTATGGCAGGTCAAATTGCCATTGATATCTTTGAATGTATTTTACTGCTTTCTGATGGCTTTGTAAATTGGTCACATAACATTTGCAGTACTGATCAATTGCTGAAAAATTTTGTGCAGTAATACATTCTAGATTTATTTTGTCAACATATTTTGGGTTCAGATACAAAATGATAATTTTCCCTTATACATATTGATATAATGTGATAAATTCTGCAAGCAGGTATCGATCATGTCTACAGTGACATCACATGAGAGTAAGTTTTAACTCAACATTTACCGAGTTTGGTTATAACAGTCGTTAAACATTAACCAGTGATCAATGCATAGATTAAAACACTTGGCTTAATATAGTGTAGAGCTTTGTTCATGTGGAAAGACACCTTAGAAGGAGTGAACAATGAGATATTCACTGTAGGGGGTGGTGTAAACTCTGGATTACAAAAGAGTCTAGACAACTTAACCAAACATTCATTTATAATTTGCTGCATTACATGTTCACTACAATATTTGTAGAGCTACATGTATTGTCACACCTTGGTCCATGCATGAGATCATGACTAAGGTGCTGGTAAAAAACTGCATTCAAGGGAGTTTAAGCCAGATTAAGGTTTTTGTATTACTTGCCATGCATACAATGCATTATGGGAGAGATATACCTAATGAATACGTCAATTAAAATTCACTTAAATAATTAATATTAACTAAAAATAAAATAAGTATGTAATTGTAAACTGATTTCTCAGAGTAGAGTGAGGCAAGTGAGTATTGGTCACCATCATATTCAGGAGGAGTATAACGTACTGTAGAGGAGCGCTTGTAACTGAGTTGTTTTGTATTTAACTTGTAGGCATGGAACAGAGACTAATATTAATATGTAAATGACTAAACTTACATAACAGCTTCAAATCAATATAATAATTTATAACTATTTTGATAATTTTGAACCAAATGGACATAATTTACCATTGCCTAATACATTTACCAAGTCTTTCAATTATATGAATAAATTATGCAGGTTTATATTCAAGAAAGGTGATATAGAGTGAAAGGTGTTTAAACGTTTATTAATAGGTTCACTACAGCCACCAAGAAATGTATGACAGCAATAAGTAATATCTTGCTTCTAATTACAACATGAAAAATTTATACTTATCTCATGATCAGGTTGTAATTCTGATTTGACTGCATGGATATCATATTATATATTTTTTAATTAATATACCGGGTAATTAATATATCGTATATATCTCTAATAATATATTATTATACCTCATAGCCCTACCAGCCAATCAGATTCACATATTTGGCGGTCGATATATAATTGCATATTGACTTCTCAACAGTCAAGGATATCATATTAGGCTCCAGTGCTTGTGCAGACTCTATGATAGATCTAAAAATTGCTTATTCACCATTAATGTTTGTCAGAACAATTTGTGAACAGGTCGAACAGCTGTAATATTTTTTGCTCAACAAAGTATCTTGCATGTGATAGTAATTTGGAAGGGCTTATGGAATATACTAGTAAATCAACAAATCTGTATATCGACCTTGGCCTGGTCAATCTTCAAGAATATTATATTCTGGATGATTATTAAAATATAATTTAGTTTGGATATAGACACACACCTCTGTCATTTTACATAAGTGTATGTGTTACTAATAGAGCAAACATGATAGTTCCTCTATTCATAGTTTTGGGTTATATATCTACTACTGCCATAATTTATTTTGGTTTCCAATTGTGTTTTCTTCATATTGTAGTTTAATTATTTGCATTTCTATTTCTAAGGGATAGCCTCAAAATGTTACAGATGCTCAATTTGTTGAAAAGGCTTTCATTATGTGATATTACATACATACAATATATTGTTACAGCTCTCACACTTAATGATTATGCAGTTGCCCTGGACAACGATATTTAGCCCATTGTAACAACCATGAAAATAAATCACAAATACAAAAATAAAATATGTTTTTTGTTTCAATATTCCTTACATTTTTGCTGGAGAAAAACATTCAAAATAGTTTTTTTAATGAGAATGTCAGTAAAAATGATCAGAAAAATAACAACGTCATATTAAAACAGTGATTTTGTGAGATTTTAGTGTGTTCATGATTGAACTGTGAGGGTGCTATTTGCCATATCATTCATGTCTGTGGCTTGTTAGCTTGTCCAGCTATTATTTTACAACGGCGACAATTCATACAATTTCAAAGTGACAACTTCTTTCTTCATTAGGTGAAAAACCATTTTGCAAAACTGATTGACCCACTGACAAGTTATTTTTTTAAATTTTGAGTTCTGTTACCCTCCATAAACTGAGAAATTATGTTCTACATTGTGCTATAAGAACAGCTTTTAAAGTTCATCATAAGTCATAGTTCAATGTATTTATCATTATACAGCATCAAACAACAATACTGGTACTAAAAAATCACATGTTCTAGTCCATTAAAGTCTGTACTTATTGTATTCTGTACTTACTTATTAATTCTCGGTATTGAACTGAGTATTTAAAAATAGAACATTATATTCTGCTTATTCTTTGCTTGTACAAATAATTTCAAGTGGAAAATCTTGCAATAATTTCACTATATGCTTTCACTTTCATTACAGGGTCCACAATTTATTAACAGCCCGCCTACTGGTACAGCATATAATCCCTACCTGACTCATGTCCCGACTACTCTGTCACATGATATACAGCTTAATACAAACATACATGGGAATATGTTACCAACACAACACATGATAGCGCCTGCTGCAGCTGCCCAAAAATTAGCTAGAAATGATAGGTTAGAGGTATGTATCACTTTATTACACAAAAAATGAAAACAAAAAATTTGATTTAAATTATTCAAAACTTGAAATGGAATATTTTGCTGTTACTGTTTTCTGTATCACCTGGAATCAGACTCTTGTGAAATGTTTTTAGTATTAAAATTCTGTTTTTCAAAATGTATATGCTAATAATAAAACAAATATGCCAATATATTATGTAATCTCATATCGGGGTTCTTTTTCTAATGAATAGACATGCCGTGAATTTCAACGTGGTAACTGCACACGTGGTGAGAACGACTGTAAATTTGCTCATCCTGGCGAGCATGTTACCATAGATACCACTGACAATACCGTAACTGTATGTATG